TGCCTATTCCCCTGCCCGGCCCCTTGTCCCCCTGCCCAGGTCTCCTGCAGCCCCACACTGCAGGGGGGGAGCAGGAGGTGAGGCTGTACCCAGAGAGCCCCTAAACAAGGGACCAGCCGGCAGGACAGGTCTCGGGGCTGTGCCAGGGCCAGGGCTCGGGGCTGTGCCAGGGGCAGGTCCCTGGGCAGGGTCCCCACGTCTCCCCTGCCCCTCCCTCTGTCAGGCTCTGAGATGATCGAGACCCAGGAGGACATTTACGTGGGCTCCATCGAGACAGACCGTGGGGTGCGCGAGCAGGTGCGCTTCTACGACACGCGGGGCCTGCGGGATGGCCTGGAGCTCCCCAAGCACTGCTTCTCCTGCACGGACGGCTACGTGCTGGTCTACAGCACCGACAGCAAGGAGTCCTTCAAGCGCGTGGAGCTCCTCAAGAAGGAGATCGACAAGTCCAAAGACAAGAAGGAGGTGAGTGCTCAGGGGAAAGGGGCTGCAGAGTGCCATCTGCTCCTCTTCAGTTTCTCACACAGGGACTCTCAGTTTCTCTGGCTTGTCACAAGATGGCAACAGGGGTCCCTGTTCCACAAGACTCTCAGTTGTAACTGGCTCCTGTCCTGGGATGCTTTCTGAGTGTACAAGTGCTCAACAGGCCCTTGTGCTTTGGTCTGGTTTGAGACACATGGATGAGAACAGGAGGGGAAGCTGCCAGAAGGGAGCACTGGGAAATGTGGTGTTTTAACCTTGGCACGGAGGGGGAGTTACCTGCAGGACTGTGCCTGGCACCGAGGCTCTTCAAGGCAGAGCCAGGCAGCACCGTTCAGCTCTGCGTGTGGTGCCTTCAGGGAGTCTTCTCGCCCTTTTTTGAACAGGTCACCATTGTGGTTTTGGGCAACAAGTGTGACCTGCAGGAGCAGCGCCGGGTGGACCACGACGCAGCCCAGCACTGGGCTAAGGGCGAGAAGGTGAAGCTGTGGGAGGTGTCCGTGGCTGACCGGCGTACACTGATCGAGCCGTTCATCTACCTGGCCAGTAAGATGACACAGCCACAAAGCAAGTCTGCTTTCCCCCTGAGTCGCAAGAACAAGGGCAGTGGGTCGATAGATGGCTGAGCCTTCTGTGTTTTCCCTTCCTTTCCATCGCCACCTCCGTGTCCTCACCTCCCTCCTTCCCTTGCACACGCCTCCTGCTGAGCCCATTTGGTATCACGGAGCCTGCAGGAAGCACAGGAGGAGTGGGCAGCCCAGGGCTGGGGGTGGTCTCTGAGGATGAGAGAGGCGAGACATCTCCCTGCACTGGGACAGGGATCACTCTTTTCACTGCCCAGCTCCTGCAGATGTTCGAGGTGCTATAGGAAAGCCAGGATTCACCGAGTGCCACCCCTCTGCTCTCCAGGCGCAGGCTGGCAGACCCCTGGGCCATACGCTGCAAAGAGGGGAGGCCCAGCACAGGGCTGGCCCACAGGTGGGACAAGAATTCCCTCTCTCTCGAGCTCTCTGATTTATATTTACTGATACCACGTGAGAAGCGCCCATTTGCCAGCCCTGCCTCCAGCCCAGCCACAGTCAGAGCACCTCTCCCTTGCGCTGCCCCAGCCGGCTCCGCGGTGCTCCCTGGCAGATGCCCCTTACCTGGCAGTGCTCGCTGCTCCTTCACCTGCAGAAACATTGTCATCCTGCCCCAGGGAAAGCATGGTGCAGAGCAGGGCAAGATGCTGTTATTGAGGGCAGGGGGCCCACATCCACCGTGCTGCAGCCCTCCTCTTTCCACGCGCAGACTCAGTCACGACCTTGGAGAAGCTGGGACTGTGTTTAGCCTGCGCACCCTGCTGCTCAGGGCTGTGGCAGCTCTCGCTGCCCATCTGCCATGGTCCCAGCTCTCCTCTCAGAACCAACACAAGACAAGGGAAAGGTGTCCCGGTCCTGCCCAGCAACATGTGTTCCCTTCAGCTAGTCTGGATCTAGGAAGAAGGAAAAAAAAAAAAAAAAAAAAAAAAAAAAAACAG